TGTGTGCGACTAACAGAAATAAAGCCTGCCAATCACCTGTAACAAAATTCTAAATGCTTCAGTTTTATTTTTAAAAACTCCCTCAGTTAAAAGGGAATTTTAAAAGCATGAATCATTGTCATTTCAGCATTATAACATGTAATTAGTTAGGTGTCAGACCTATACACAACTGAAATAACTACACTCACGCTCTGACAATATTAACATCTAAACTGTTTTCAACATAGGTTCACAACAACCTACTGCTTACAGCAGTTGCTAGTTATTAACGTATTTCTTAGCTTAGATTGCATGTCAGTACACACCCTACTTGGTGGGCTGAAGTAGTTTTTAAAGTTTTTAAAATCTTTGGCTGATAGATTATGAAGTTCTGAGACAAGATATGTTGAGTTCATTCATACCTTCCTAGATGAGGATCACCTTTCTGGATGCAACCAAGATCTACACCTTAAAGGACTGAATCTAAATGTGTCAGCCTGGTATCAGTTCCTGATCTGGAAATAATAAAATTCTAAGATGTTGTAGATAAGAAATGCTTTCATGACGTAAGCATGGATGATGCAAGTTTGTGGCATCTAATAAGCAGCACAGATTACTAACGCCAAGTTATCTCTATTATAATGCTACAATATGATATGCAAGGACATTCAAGCCTCATTAATCATTATTTCCCCATTTCATTTATTTTCTGATGGTGAAAGTATTAAAATGACATATACCTGAGAATGAAGCCAAAGAAAAACAGCACTAAGAGATCCCACAACTACTTTAATTGTGGCATTTTTTAATGAAGCCCACTAGTAGCAGCCTACATTTACTGATGCATCTCACAGGTTTTGTTGACACCCCTCCCCGCCGCCCCTCCAGATATCACAACCAGCACTTACCAGTATCGGAACTTTGAACCCAAAGTAAAATAATGTGCAAAAAAGTTCTTCTGAGGGGGTAGAGGTCTGTCCAGTCGGAAGAAAGTGTGATGCTCAACACAAGCCTTCCACAAATTCTTACAGGCTCGATAATTCACCATATTGAAACCTAGTAATGTTTCTCTAGATTCATGCTAAAAAAAGAGAAAAGGTTTGACTTCAGAGAAATTAAAATGCTTTCCGATAATGTTAAAAAAATTAAAGACAATAATTATTTTTCATTTTGTAAACACTTTCCAGAAGTGGTACAAAGAATTCTGTTCCAAAATATGTTTCAAGTGGGGTTATCCCAATTTTACATATCTTAAAGCTTTTTGCAGAATCAGAGAATCACAGAGCAGCAGGGCTGGAAGAGACCTCCAGAGATCATCTAGTTCAGGGGTTCTCAAAGTTTTTATGCCACTGTCTGATAAACCAGGGCCTGGAAGCAGCCATGGCCTGGCAAACCGTAGCCCAGTCACAGCTGACTGTGGCCCAAATTTCCGGCTGGCAGACAGGTAAGGCTACCTGCACCCCAGGTGGGGGTGGTAAGCCAAACCCTGCACTGCCACGGGCCCTGCAAAAGGAGCCATGGCCTCTCCACCTGGCTATGGGGGGCTGCAGTTTGCCGGTCTGCGGCCACTTCCAGTCCAGCAGCCAACTGTGCTGCAGACTGGCACTGGGCCACGGCCCAGGGATTGAGAACCCCTGATCTAGTTTAATCCCCTGCCTGTGGCAGGATCGTTCCTATTCAAACTGTCCTAGAAAAATCCATAATTTAAACTCTTTGTAAAACTACTGTCAACCCTGACAGAACACAAGACATTAATACTCTAACCTGCCCCAGGTAAAGCAGAGGAACCACAGGAAATTACAAGCTTGTGTTTAAACCCATTTTGCTCATAATTATTACACTCATTTTCCCTTAAATGGGCCTGTTCTCAGTATACTACAATGCTGAAAACTTTTTCTGGAAAGATGGCAAGCTCTTAGCCATTAAACTGTGATTCTGTAAAAGAGAAAAGAGCTGCCATGCACCTGGCGCCCTTGGCCAAGATCCCAACAACAGTGAGGTACGAAATGAGATTTAATCCTGGCACTGGAGAACAGGAGAGACAGTAAACTGGTATGCATGCCACATGTGAACGTTTAAGAACAGTAAGCCTAAGTACAGACATTTGGGAGATTAAATGGGGTTCAAAATGGTTGTCCGATTTAAACTTAGCTCATCCTGGGGTGCTGACCATCCATTTACAAACTTGGTCTTCGTGACCAGCAATCAGTCCAAACCTGCAACTGTACAGAAGTTCCATGCATACAACCCGGTCTAAAAGTTACAGAACCCGGTTTAAGATAAAACCTGGATCAAACTTATTTGATTTAGGTCAAATTTGTGCATGGAATTTCTGTACACTTTCCCTATGCGTCCCCAAGGCAGGCAGAAGCCAGCCACTGACCCCAGCCCCAAAACTGCTCTTTTCACCCGCTGGACTTATTGGGCTACTTTTTGCTTCCCACCTCCCACCGGCCCAGCCAACCCTCTCAACCCCCATCCCACAAACCACTCAGGGTACAGCCACTTTTATGAGCATTCACTGCTGCCAGAGCCAACAAGTAAGTCCTGGTGCAGGGAGAGGTGGGGTGGGAGGGATAAATGTGGCCTCTGATTCCCCCCCACCCCCACCCCCAAGCCCTCCATGGACACTGCCAGACACTTCTAGACCCCAGCAAAATCCTGTGGGTTTGCAGTTCCTGCCTGCTCCAATGCAGTTCATGCCTAGCCCCCTACCACCCGGGCAGACCCCCAAGCCCCTCCAGCCTGCTGGACCCCCAACCCCCTGCTAGCCACCTCCACCCACCAAGCCTGACCTACCTGATGTTGGGCAGCCCATTTGAACTGATTTAACTTCCCCCTAATACCCCAAATGTCTGCACTTAGCTTAAGACGGTGCAACTATTTTTGCTAAGCTGAAGGAGATTCAAGCTTGCATGAATAAAACTTTTACGGCACTTACAAATAGGGAGAAAGAACCCAGGTAGCAGGTGCTGGAGGGGTCAAGCAAGCTGCATATGACTGTTTCTACCCACGGTCCTTCAAAGGAGATCAACAAGACAACCTGGCTCTCTTGCATACAGAAGGCTGGGTTTAGTGCAATGCCCCTGCCCACTTCTACCTGGTGCAGCATCCTACTTCAGGAAACTTTAAAGAACTCCCAACCTCGCCCAATCAACTAAGATTCATTCCTCCCTCATGCAACCATTCCTTTACTTTTGGTGCAGTGTTGGATTACAAAATGAGAGTTCTCTTCTCCCTTTACAGTAGCCTTCCAAAATACCTAGGCTTGGCAGGATTCGATTTTTATCAGTAAACACCGATAAATATTGATTTCACCTCACACTCACAGACCGACAAAAAAAATCTCCATTGTTAATAGTTTAAATTTACAGAAAGAGGATGCAAGACAAATGATGATTGATGATGACAGGGGGAGCAGTCTTACCGAACCGTGCTGACTGCAGTTTGTACTGCAACTCCCAGAAACCCCAGGGGCCTGGGAACAAAGGAAGAGGAAGAGACAAAGCAGAAGAGGGAGCTATGGGTGAGCAAAGCTTGGAGTGGTGGCTGCTCTGCCACCCAGCTGGCAGCAGTTCTATAGTAGTAATGTCACAGCAAGCAGCTAAACTGCATTATAATAGTAATATACTATTGTTAATAAATTGTCTGCCCCCATGCTCCTAATTTCACACAATCCTGAAAATTTAAATTGATAAAAAATAAAAATAAATGCTTAGAAATACAAATCAAATTCTGCCAAGCCTAAAAATAGCAAATAGGAAGCTGTCATTACAAAATACTAAGCAAGACCCTGCACCCAGTCCCAAAGTAAAAGTAGATAATTAAGGAGCAAACTGGATCTACATTTCATAAGTAGCATATCTGAATTATTTACAGCAGGATTCTACAAGTTTTTAAAATGTGTGTGGGGGGCGTAAAAAATTCAATATCATCATCATATTTAGTAATTCACAAAAACTAAAAATTTTTATTGACTCTTTAAAGATAGATGAGATGCAATAGTTACATTTCACCAAAATAATTATTCTGTCAGATTCGGTTTGACCTACTAACCATTTTCCCTCAAAAAAGCTATCAGCTGGGCAATGATGTTTTAGTAATCCATCCTCTGACAAAGCAAGTCAGATCTCAGACTGGCTACATTTATACAGATGCTCCTTTGCTTCCAATTCACAAGAGCTGAGATAACTTAAAGGGTGCCTCACCTAAAAGCCTGGAATTTCGAGACTGTTCAAGCACAAGTTCCCCTCATGGGGCAGAAGTACTGGCCTGACAGTCCTCCCGTTCTTGGGAAGAGAATTTTCAAGGCCATGTCCTGAAAGCAAACTGGCATCCTCAGCCAGGCAGCACTGCTCCAAGTGGACTGGCTCCTCAGCCAATGCAGCTGCTTCTGCAACCTACTGCAGGTTAGCTCAGGTTTGCTCATTTAGCTCTGCTGTTTCAGGGGCAATTAGCCTACTCAGCCAGCTCACAGTGCTTCACAGAGGTGGTCACACAGCTGCTGGTTCAAAAGATAGCCTGTGCAGGGCTGTGCAGCCTACTTGGGCTTCCAGACATGGGCTAAATGACATAAATTCAGAAGGGAGACTTATGTGATGCTAAGACACCCTATCACCCAATTCAAATTAGGTCCAGTTTCCCAATACAAGGAATAGGCAGAGTGAGGCACTTAAGGAAGGGATTTACAGGAACTAGTGTCCTTAGTGGATAGTTTCCCAAGGTAGCCAATAGGAAAGTCCAAGGAGGCAGGTAGGACCAACAACCCACCTCTCAGAGAATTAGGCACCAACTCTGGGCATAAGAGCGCCACCTCCCAGGATCATAGCTGTGAACCCCCTCTGGGAGTTAGGTGGCTAATGCAGGTTTTCACCATCTTCCTTGCACAAAGCAGCACAGCAGTTACTGGTGCTGCCTTAATATCAATTTGCCTAATGATTACAACAATCCCCAGAGGGCTTTTAAACCCCCCTGTTCTGCTTCTTAAAACTAGAATTTAAATGTATATCACCCACTTCCTTCCAGAGAGACTGCCCTAACTGCTGGTTCCAAAATGGGAAGGTGAAAAAAGGATGCTGTAACCTAGTCGCTGGCAAGAATTCAGTGGCCGTGCACAAGTCCACCAGAAAAAACAAATTAGGTACCTGCAGGACTAGACCACAAGTGAGCAGAGATTTTGAGTGCTTGTAGTACCTACACTGGTGAATACCCTTTGTGAATCTAGCGCAGAGTGCTTTTGTAAGATGGGGCCAGAGAAAGGAATAGAAGCGCAAAGTAAAGGTCTGTCATCCCTGACACACTATTCGTTTCTTACTGAAGTAGATTCTAATGAGAAACATACACAGCCTATAAAATCCTTTTGTAATGGACTTAGCAAGCAATGTCATTTATTAAGCAAATGTTTGCCTTTTAAGTAAAAAGGAACACATTGAACTAACAACTCAAATAGATCATTAATCTAAATATCTCCCTGACGTCCCATATGCAGAGGGCCTGCAAGATAGGACTCAAAGCTGCAAGAGTCACTATAAAAAAAAATAAAAGAAAAAAAAAGAAGATGAAAGGAAATAATCCCACAGTGCAAATTCTCGGTACATAAGTGGACACGGATGTGGTGCGTGTCCAATCTCCATGCAGGTACATACTAAATAACTGGCTCTGCCACTAATAACTGTAACTAAGGGAGTTTTAATGGTGAAAATGTATTAGCTTTCTTAGTTATTCTGACTTTCTTCCAATGGCTTACTTACACACAGATTCTTTACTTGTATTAATGCCGTATAATGCTGAGTTAGAGAAATTAATAAGCAATTAAAAAGTGAGGTCCCTGGATTTTTGAAGCAGACTGCTGTAATTAAAATATCTGATTAGTATTTGAGCTATTAAAAAATCAGATAGAGCTATTTTAAAATAAAATCTGCAAGACATCGTGATAAATTGTTGAAATATGTATCTCTGTCGAAACTAATTTAACATCATAAAGTAGTGGGGCAAACCTTTTTGGCAGGTGTGTCATCATAAATTAGCCCTGCACCACACTAATCCCTTTCTTTTACTTAATAATCTGCTCATCCTTCTGCTCCCTGCCCTATCCTCCCTGACCAAGCTGCTGCTCTACTTCCTGCTTCCTTCCCTCTATTATTTGTACATATACACGTAACGCCAAGGAGAAAATTATGAAACTGCTTGCATTTTTGTTTTTGCTGTTTGTTCCTGGGGTGCTGGATGAGGTCGGTTGGTTGGTTGGTTGGTTTTTTTAAGTAACAGAGCTAAGCATTACCTGGTGGACAGTATGTCTTGGATTTTTATAGGAGTAAAAGTTTGGGTAGGGAGCACAAATTCTAGACTGACAAACTGTTTCTATGTTCATGAGATTTAAAAAGTCAAATTCAAGCTTCCTATTTATTTGGCTATACATACCTAGGAAGAAATGAAAGCAAAATCTTTGTGATTTAGGTGCATCTGATAAGCAGACCTTAAAATCACAGCATGAGGAAATGTATTTCTTATACAGATAAGGTGTCTCAATGAGGAATGGGGGATGTTGTGCAGAACTACGTTCTGCCATATGTAACGAGATGCATTACATAGGAAGTACTGACAAATAGAAGGACAGAGAAGTTATGCTTGTGTCAGCCTAATGACCCTGCTCAGATCTAGTAAATACACACCATTGCACACACACTCAACCAAAAAGGTATGGGTCAGCAGGGGCCTGGCACAATACCATTCCCTTCATTCATAATATTCAAAATACAACACAGTGAATTCTTATCTAACTGCTGCTTAACTATGGCAATCCTAGATGTTGAAAGGGTCTGAAGATTAACTACCCCACTCCCAATGACTTCCATGGAAATTCTGCATACAGACCACGAGCCAAAATTTAATCTTTGGCCTCTTAGGCTGGTTCCAGATGCGTAGGCATGTGTGATTTGTGGCACCGCAAACCACAAGTGTTGCATGTTAAACCAGGTGCAGCACTGCTAATTGGCAGAACTGGGGCAAAATATGCGACTGGGATTTCCTGGTAGCAAATTAAAAAAAACTGAGAAAAAGAGCAGCGCAAAGCACACCAAAGTGCTGTGTGCCGGGACAAATGTGAAGACGGGGGAGCAGGCAGCCCAGCCCCATCTCTACGTGCTGCAAAGCCCTTGCGCTGAGCCACCCTGCACCCCAGCCAGCCCCATCTCAGAAGGCTGCCTGCTCCCCCATCTCAAGGCACTGTGCCCCAGACAACTGGCTGTCGCACAGCATGCCTCAAGACAGGGGCTCCACATGCCTCAGTGTGGGGGCCTCTTTAGCACAGCCCCCACCCTGAGGCTGCCTGCTCCCCCATCTTGAGGCATCCTAGGCAACCGTGGAGTGGGTGGCTATGGCACAGGCTGCCTCAGTGTGGGGACTCCGCAGCAAAGGCAGGGGAGCAGGCAGTCCTGGGCTGCCAGCTTCCCCATCTCCACGGGCCACTCTCCAGTTGGCTGGCGCAAAGGGTACCTCAGCCCGGGGGCTGCCTCCCACCTAGCCCCACGCTGAGGCAACCTGTGCCCCAGCCAGCCTCCACTGCAGCACATGGGGCAGCAGGACAATGTGTCCTGCTGCAAATTGCATGAGCAGGGGTGTGCACTGCAGTAGTCTTAGTGCTGCTGCAAACACGTGTCCCTGCTCATGAGGACATGAGGTTAATTTGCTATTCAAAACTGACTTCTATATCCTAAACAGTACTTAGCCTACACGTTACACTGCTAAGATGGTAACAAGTCTGAGCCTAGTGACTAACCTCAATTCCTCCCTCTCCATCTCAACTCAGGCTGTTAAATATCCATTGCATTTCTTTCATATACTATGCAAAATAAATTGCTTCTTGTCAATACCTATTGAAAATCCAGGGTTCTCCTTTTTGGACCACTGTAACTTCCACCTTGTTAGCCTTAGCAGCACTCCCCACACTTAAGTTGGACTCATCAATTCTCACTCTTCCGGCCTGACCCCAGCACTTCCTTCACTTAGCCTGACAGCGCCTGAATCAATTTTCAACTCCTCAGCTTGTTCGAAAGCTGTTTTTAGAGCTGTATCACTGGTCACCAGCCACTCTCCTGTCAAAACCTGCAGTTTACCCATCTGCACTGTGTAGTCTTCCTTTCTCTCCCCAAACAATCACTTCCCATACTGACTTTCTCCTTGCAAAATCTTTTGATAGCATGCATCTCTTGATCCTCCTCAAAAATCAAACATTTCTTGCTACTCAATTATTCTGCAGTCTGTGATCCTCTGATAAATAAAACATTCAGAAAGACCTATTCTCATAGACCATATCTGACATGTCAACTACATCAACCTACTCTTGCAGGGTTTTTGGTTGTAGCCATGTTGGTCTAAGCACATAGGCAGGCAAGATTCTTTGGGTAGATGTGATATGTTTTATTAGACCCAATGGGTAGTTGGAACTAAGTTCTTTGCAAGCTTTCAGGCACAAGTACTCTTCTTCAGGCATAGGGTGTCTGCTGTTGTTCTGATATCTCCAACTCTTAGTGTACATTTCTCCAATTTTTTCCCACTGCCTTTGCCCGCTTTCTTCTCTGGCATACTATTTTATAATCAACTTAGACTGTTAATGCTTTCAGGCACGGACCGAGTCAAGACCACAAGTTAAATATCAGGCAATCTGATGACGACAGGTAGCAAAAATGTTGCATCACTGCCACCAAAATGCATACATTCTTGGTTTAAGTTTTCAAAGACTTAAATTTGCAATTTCAAAAGGCAGCATTATTACAACACCACACTATTTAGAACTGTGTTAGGGATTACCAGTTTTCCATTAGAATGTAAATGGGAAAATGCCATTTATGTTGATAATGTCAGCTACAAAAAAAATTAACATTTCACAATGTTTTACTTACAAACATAAGTACTTCCAAACCAATACAAAAATAACCTCTGATTTAACTTGGATTTTGCTGAAAACAAAGTTTAAATAAAAGCCATGTTTTATTTTCAGATTGCTTTATTTCTTACTGATTTAAGATCAGCTCATAGGATACAGTCAATTTCCACATATGGAATTGAAAAATTTTATAATATTTAAGAGAACTCAATCAAAACAATGTATAGCCAGAAATCAGATGCAAATGAATGTTGTATCATAGGTAAACACATAAGTTCAAACACAGAGTAAAGATAATGATGACTAAATGTGGAAATTTGTTTTTTGTAATTTTCATGAGACCAAATTTTAAGATTAATACTCACCAATTCTTTCCTAAGTTGAATAAAAAACTGTTTGCACTTAAAAGAAATTTTTACAATCTTCAACCTAAATGAAAAATAAAAACAGAATATTTTAAACACTTAGTATACAGATTCATATTAAATACTTATAGTACACAAACTGGTTCTTTTTTTGAGAGAACTAATTTAATCTTCATTACTATAAGATTTCATTTGACAAAAATTAACTGAAATAAATTAATAGCTACATATAACAGCTTGCACAGTTTGAGATTTGTTAACCATATATTAAAATTCCCAAAGAATTAAATGTCTTGCACCTTGCTTTACTGTGCAGGCTAGCAAACATAAGTTTCTCCAGTATTTCCATTCTAAACTAAAAGGCAGTCACTAGTGTTTCACCAGTGTTGACCCTGAAAGAAATTTAGGAGTCAGAGAGTTACTTCAGAGAGTCTGTTCTTAGTAAAATGAGTCCTCCAAAGAAGTGAATGCAAAAGCAAAAATTAAAATATTCAGATTATGAATATTTATATCAAAGAAAGAATAATACAATACATATCTAGATATACTTTTACAAGCCAAAAGAAATAAGCATTCTACGTTTTAAAATCTTAGGAATTCCTAGCAAGTGGCCATGCTGTTAGGGAGATCTTGCCCAAATTCAGAGACTAAAGTTGTAAGAAGCACTGGATCTTCGCTGTGCCTGCAAACAGGAACCTCGCCCTCACCAAAGGATGCCAGAGGAATGTCTAGCAGAACACTAGGCATGTCTACATGTTCCTTAATGTGCTTTTGCTACTGTGCATTATATATAGTACCTCTAATGTGTGGTACCAGATAAATATGCATATTAGGTTGCCCTAATGCACAGAAGTGAAAGCACATGCTTTTTTAGTGACACTTAATGTGTAGTAGCCTATTTTTACCGAGCATTAGCATATTACCATGGTTTTTGACGTGATGCCGTAATGCACAGTAAAATAGGCTACTGCGCATTAAAGTGCATGTGTAGACGCACCCAGTGAACCCCCTTTTATCCCCTCCCTCAAACAAAGCCATACCACACCACTTGCTCAGAACAAGATGAATATGGTCAGAAAAGCAAGGTTCTTGTGTCATCATGGTCAGACTAGAACACACTGACCTACACTACCACCTTGCCTGGAGTGTCTTCTTGCTTCCGACTAAGATCCTTTTATACTACTTTCCTTAGCCTCAGTTACGCTAATTTGGCCTAAATTAACAGCCTGTGGCAGGGTGGGCAAAGTCTGGTCCATGATGGACTCCATTTCCCACAGGTAAAAGCTATAAGCCTATCACCATTGGATAGTATTCTTCTGCCAAGATACGCAATATTCAGAGCGTACAAGTCCTGGATACTTCTGATAATGGAGTTTTTTGGTAACAGAACATTATTTTGGTCAAGAATTAAAGCTCGTTTACAACAAAACCTGATATGGTAGTACCAACAACTCTAGATTTCCATATTAACTTCTCTCAGCCAAATTAAAATGGAACTATACTCATGATGCTGCAAGCTGGGCACAGGACGAGAACATCAAACTACTTCTGTCAGCCATGACTAGTAGAAGGGATTCTGACAATATTCATGAACTCCAAAGCAGAATAGAATACAGATAGCCCTCACTGTACCACTGAATTGCAAACTTATCAGGGAAATAAGTTACCTTTTACTATATACCTGCACAATGTGTAGTAGAAACAAAAGGTCTGTACAAAAGGTTTTGACTATGACCAAAACTTCTGGGAGCACTAGATTACAATACTTAATACTGGCTCTGTAAGGTTAGCAAATGGAAACCTGTTTTCTGTTAGTAAAGTGAACAGAGAGCATTTTTAAGACACATGGTGAGTTATTTTCCTAATTAAGAATATACATCAATAAGACATGTTGTCGGTATGACTGCTTCAAATGTTTATGGCATTACAATTTGACACATTAAATTATAAAGGATTAAGCACTCTTTCTGTATTAAAGCTTTCTTTCCACTCCTTTTGTCTTTTGCAATTTTACTATTAGAGAGACAATGGCATGTATTCTATTGATATATTGGTAATTTTCAGAAAATTATTCCAGGTGTGTTTCTTTCTCTATATTGTTAGCCCTTAATGGGTTCTCTATTATTATAAAAGCTGCTACCACATTCTCAATAATTTCTACCCAAATGGGGCTTATAATCTATAACTACAACACCCAAGTAATACATGTGAATCCAACTCATAACACAAATGGTGACTTAAAAAAACAAGAGAGAAGCTGGTTCTGAAATTGTGGGATGGGGGAAAGACAGCTGTGATGAAATTAGCTTCAAGCAAAAGCAACAGAGAAGAAAAATGAATTACAGCCTAAACTAGTATTGTCAGGAGCAAGCTGAGATTCATTTTGTAAAATTAAATGCATATTTTAAGGAAGAACAGACTATTTCAAATGTACCTTAAAAAAAAATCCTTTCCCAGAACAATTAAACTGTCTCCCAATTCCAATATGCCACACGTCAGAGCAGCTTCGTAGAATAGCAGAACATCTGAAAATGGATTTGAAGACTGGAATTCATTTTGCAGCATGTCCTGCTGTGTTTTACTAGTTAAGGCCATTTTAAAGCATTTTTCTAGTCTCCTAAGCCAACAAGAAACTCATATGAATTACGTACTGGAGGCTGCCTCCTTGTTACTGAGATAAATCTTTCATTTGATCAAGTGGAATCCCTATGGCAGGTCAAGGATCAAGCTGAACGGTACACTCTGACCAATGTTAACAACTTTTTATATTTCCATTGTCTATTTTAATGTGAATTATAAGGAATTGAGGGTTGGGAAAATCTTGAAATGTCTGAGATAATAAAAGTAGGTCCTTTGTATTAAACCTGAAATACAGGCCCTAAGACCTAGCAAGTTCTTTCTGTGAATGCCTCTATTTGCTTATTCCTGTTTAAGTTGGTAGCCTCTTACTGCTGATGCATGCACCTATTGTCACCCTGCACCCTTGCATCTGAAGAAAAAGATGCAAGTTTGCTGAAATACAAAGAACTGAAAACTTTATCCCTGTTTTTCTACTCAGGATACAAATAAATGCCTGTTAGGAAAATAAAAACGATCCTATAATGCCTTAAATTAAATTTCTTCAATGTTCTCCCATAGTAATGTCATTGTTTCTACAATACTCTCTCACAAAAGCCTTCGTACGTGAAAGCTCATATCACAAGTTTGGAGGAAATCCATTGCTTTCTCCTTTTTATTCAAGCACACCACACAACCAAAGAAGGAAGAACTAATCACTGGGCAAACTTGCATTAAGTTCATTTGCAGAAATTTCTATTGTAGCTCTGTCTTTTAAAAATTATGCAGAGGAAAAAGTCTAGAGGTTTTCACACATTTATGGGCTGTTTCCTATATATCTTGACTTTTTGGAATCCGAGAAAAAAGTAGGGTTGGAAGAGACCTCAGGAAGTTTCCTCCAATCTAACTTCCAGCTCAAGGAAGATCCTCTATTACTAAACCATCTCTGTTGAGTGTTGGTCTAACCTGCTCTTGAAAACATCCACAGAGAGAGATTCCACAACCTCTCCAGGTAGAACTGGGCCCCTCGCTACAGAAAGGATGTAGACAATTGGAGAGAGTCCAGCGGAGAGCAACAGAAATGGTTCAAGGGCTGGAGAACATGACTTCTGAGGAAGGGCTGAGGGAACTGGGCCGATTTAGTCTGCAGAAGGGAAGACTGAGAGGGGATTGACTAGCAGCCTTCAACTCCCTGCAGAGGGCTTACAAAGAGGACGGAGCTGACTATTCCCAGTGGGGGCAGATGACAGAACAAGGAGCAATGGGCTCAAGTTGCAGTGAGGGAGGTTTAGGTTAGATTTTAGGAAAAACTCTCTCCCAAGGAAGATAGCAAAGCACTGGAACAGGTTAGTTAAGAGAGGCTGTGGAACCTCCATCCTTAAAAGACTAAGAACCAGCTAGACAAAGCCTTGGCTGGGACAAATCGAGTTGGGGCTGGTCCTGCTTTGAGCAGGGGGCTGGACTTGACCTCCTGAGGTCCCATCCCATAGACTTTGACATTCGTTTTAAAAACCTTGACATGACCCATGCTATTTTGAGGCCTTAAGATGAGGAGCAACTTACCCAGGTGACCTACTTAGGTGAACTACGTAACTGCTTACATAACTGAACTAGTTAGCAGTGCAAAAAGCGGGTAACACAGTAACGGGGTGAGAGTTGCTGTGAGAGGGTGATTGGTGAGAGTCGCTGACATCATTCTATGTGAAGTCTTGTCAACACGTGGAAAGAAAAAAAATTGTAGAACATATAAATAGCTATTGAATCAACTTAACTCTTGGGAAGCTGGAAACCTGAGAAGACACGTTGCTGTTGTGGTTGTGACCTGCCAGTGCTGTGACAATGTCTGGCCAGCTGAGTTACTGCATCACACGAAAGGCCTACATAAGCACATCCCTGTAAATGTAAACTGTCTAGTTTGTTCGATATTTCTTATGTGCTTAATACATTTTGGATTTAAAGCCATAATAGCTTTGATAATCAATTAATCTATTCATGCCACCCCCTTTAATTGAGTGTAACATCCTAACTCAAATATTCTGATTCTATCTGGTCCATAGACTAAATCCCTCCACAAAAGGACTGGCCTGGTCAGGCCAGGATGCCATCCAGCCCATTTTATGCAGCATATTTTTGTTGGTCTCCCAGCACACTAGCAGGCTGCAGCAGACTCTTAGGGAATCACTGTATTAAACAATATCAAAAACAGAACAAACCCCTGGGGAACCCCACCTGACACCTCTTCCCATGTAGACTTTGAGCCACTGATGACCACCCATTGACCATGATGATCCAACCAGTTTTGTATCTGCCTTACAATACTTTTTTCTCGTCTGTATGTCCTTACATTGTTAATGACAATGTTGGGGGAAACAAGTGTTGAAATAATACCCATGCCAGGACAGACCCCTAGGGAACCCTCCTCAATACTTTCTTCTGGATTGAGTCTTAGCTAGATAGTTTCATACATACATCAATCTCAGCTCAGCTCTTGTTTTGTGATTCTGCCTT